ACTTATTATTACTTATTATTACATATTATGACTTATTATGACTTATTTTTACATATTATTACTTATTATTACTCATTATTATGTATTATGACTTATTATTACATATTATGACTTATTATTACTTATTATTATTTATTATTACATATTATGACTCATTATTACTTATTATTATGTATTATGAATTATTATTACTTATTATTATTACTGTGTAGTGAGATTATGACTTATTATGACTTATTATTATTTATTATTACTTATTATTACTTATTATGATTTATTATTATTACTGTGTAGTAAGAGTATGACTTATTATTACTTATTATGACTTATTATTACTCATTATGTATTATTTCTTAATATTACTTATTATTGTGTATTATGACTTATTATGACTTATTATTATTACTGTGTAGTGAGAGAATGACTTATTATTACTTAGATAGATAGATACTTTATTCATCCAGCTCCTGTACCGTTCCTTAGAGCAGCCGGTGGAGGTCCATACTCAGATTAAAGCCACAGATCAGGGAGAGCTGCCCCTTTTCCACCTCCTCCCCCTCATCCTCCTCTCTCCTCCTCCCCCTCATCCTTCCTTCCTCTCTCCCCGGCAGGATCATGAAGTTCCACGTGGCCAAGAAGAAGTTCAAGGAGACTTTGCGTCCGTACGATGTGAAGGACGTGATCGAGCAGTACTCGGCCGGACACCTGGACATGCTCTGCCGCATCAAGAGCCTGCAGACCAGGTACAGGAGAGCCCCCCACCCCAAAACCCCCCTTATTCTATACACCTGCATCAGAGGTGTAGAAAGTACAAGTACTATATCAAAAAATGACTCGAGTATAGTTTTTATTGTTGGGAAAACGTGTGAAAGGCCATACAGGTGTTTACAAAAACAGAAAACTACATCTGCATTAGCATCAACAGCACTTCATCTACTATTATTTATAATTCTTTATCTTTTATTGTTATTTATCATCAGAGATGTGTAAAGTACTGGAGTAGAAGTAGAAGTACTATATAAAAAACTGACTAGAGTTAAAGTTGAAGTGTTCTTTCAACACCAGACTTAAGTGGAAGTACAGAAGTACTCCATTTTTTTGTACTTAAGTATTGCAAGTAGAAGTATTTAAAAAAATTGCTACTCAAGTATCGTAAGTACACGTATTAGTAGAAGTACAAGAACTGTGTATATTAAAAAAGGCAGTCAAAATGTTGATAGATATTGTTTATATTATTTCAAACGTGTGAAAGGCCATACAGGTGTTTACAAAAACAGAAAACTACATCTGCATTAGCATCAACAGCACTTCATCTACTATTATTTATTATTCCAGAGTCAGAATCCTGAGCTGAGCCTTTCGGGAGGCTTTTTTTTTTAGAGGCGATGATGGCTGAAATCGGCCAATGAGGATCCAGCTTCCCAAACCCTGACAGACTATCTCCAGCTCTGGCTCTGACTCTATGACTGGGGAGGATTCATTATTTACATATCAGTAACCAGTAACCATTCAGCCCCAGAAAGTAAAAGTAAAAGTATTAAATTAATCAAAAATATGTAGTGGAGTTAAAGCAAAAGTAGGGGAAAAATATATCCTCCAATAAAGTACAGATACTGGATTTTGGTACTTAAGGACAGTCCTTAACTCATTGACTGGCAGCCATTTTCAGAACAGAGTCCCATACTGCCAGAGTTTTTTGAGCATTTTGACTGATTTTTCTAGAGCCACAGAATAGTTTGTGCTATGACTATGTAAACACCGAACACACCAAAAGAAAGAGTAGACTCTCTTCTTTCATCAGGAAAAAAAATGTGTTTCTACCTG